ACCTGAGGCCATTTCCTCTCGTCCCATCGCTTGTTATGGGGAGCAGAGCCCGACCCCTTCTTGCTACCCCCTCCTTTCAGGAGCTGCAGAGGGGATAAGGTCTCCCCTCAGCTCCTCTTCTCCACTTGAACCTCCCAGCTCCCTCATTGCTCCCCATCATTCGGCTGCTCCAGACCCCTCCCCAGCTCCCTTGCCCTTCTCTGCCCATGCTCCAGCCCCTCCGTGTCCTTTTTGGGGCTCAAACCTGACCCCAAGATTTGAGGGGCAGCCTCAGCACAGGGGATGATCCCTGTCCTGCTCCTGCTGCCCACACCAGTGCTGGGACGGCCCAGGATGCCGGTGGCTTTCTTGGCCACCTGGGCTCACTGCATCTTGCAGGACCCTCTTTTCTCCTCATCCCTGCAGCCTCGCTAACCTGATCCTGTTTGCCTTTTCCGCAGGTGAGCCAGCTGAGCAGACACTTCAACATACGGCCCTTCTCGCTAAAGAAGCCCACGCCGGATTGACTAGGAGCAGAAGAAGAGAAAATCGGCTTGCGGTCTGCAGAAGTACTGTAAATAACTGCTGCAAATACCTGTAAATACTTCAACCATCACCACAGATCTAAACCTATCCTCTGGACAGACATCGGGGCAAAAAAGTACGCACGGTATCCGGTGCAGCCAGGGCAGGACTGGGACGGGGCAGCCCCCCCGCTGCTGTTTGGGGTGAAACTGGAGGAGGAGGGTAGCCTTTCAGGTCACTGTTACTGTATATTAGACCAGCTGAATGTTCCTGGCGAAACCTCAGACTCTGGCTTTTGCTCGGGTAAAGCCGGGTGGGGATGCAAATGGCTTTATCTGAGCAAAAGCATCTTGTCCTGTCACCAAAACCCAACGTCACGGCCGATTTCTGCAAGGTCAGGGGAACATCCTGGTGGTCGGGGGAAGCTCCTGTCTGTCCCTACCCGTGCTGGGCAGGGAGCAGATGTCGAATGTGGGAGAACTGTCACCATTTGGGCAGACACTTGCACCTTTTTGTTTTTTAAGGGGGAAAGGGTAAAAACCAACACCACACACAACTTTTGGTCATGCTCTGCTTAGAAAATCGGGGTTTAATTCCCTGTAAAAGTGAGAAGGCAGCTTCTGCCTGTGAGGACCTGGGACCACATCTCATCCCCCTCTTCCTGCCCGTATGGACTTTGCTGTTTCGGGTTGGTTTTGCTGGGTCACCGCACGCTGCCTCAGCCTCCTCTTTGACAGCAGCGCAGCCAGGCTCTGTCTGCACATCTCCCATCCCACCAGAGCACGGACGCAGCAAACCCATGCTTGGAGAAGCACCTTAATAAGTGTCGTGTTTGGGGGTGGGGGGGGGTGTGTATGGTGGGGTCCTTCCCAAATCTCCCTTGATTTTTCCAAACCGTTGTCCCCAGCGGCTGCGTGTCTCATCCAGGGCTGTCTTTGTTTACTTGTCCGTTTGTAAAAGATGCGTTTGCATTCATTTATTTTACTATTTGTTGTTTTTTTTTAAAAAAAAATAACTTCTTTTTATCGTTAAGAGTGGGGTGGTGAAGACTGAACGCTGATTTTTCTTCTTTTTATTTTTTCTCTTCATTTAATTTAATGAAGACCTGTGCTTGAATGAAGAGTGTAGCTTAAACCCAGGCTCTGGAAAGGCTGCATCCGGAAGCGAACAAGCACAGCAGGTTGTGCATATGTAAACTACCATGGGAACAAAAGTCGCTTATTAATTAATAACACTGATTATTGTGCTTCGTAGACGCTCGGTCGCGGCGTTTTCCTTCTGCAGGCGAAGACTCCTCCTGCCTTGGGGATCCTTCAAACCCTAACGACTCGTTTAACTCATTTTTCTTTTGTAAATCCGAATTGGCAGCATCGTTGTCACCGTGCAGGCTCCGAAACTTGAAACGCTGAGGGCGCCGCAGGGGTTGCTCGGGGCACGGTAAAGCCCCGCGAGGAGCGAGCGGGGATGGTCGTCGTTGAGGGGGCGAATGGTTTTCAGAGTTTTATTTAATAAAGTAGCTTACTCTGATCTATTTTACTGACGTTGTACAGAAAAAAAAAGCCACCCAACCTCTTAAGCGTACAAATGAATTGGGCTGCGCTTGAGTTGTTGGTTCTGGCTGTTTAATGAAGTGAAGCTGTGGAGGTAAATTGAAGTTGTGCAGGGAGTCTTAAAGGGGGACCCGGCGGTCGTGGGGTGTGTTCAGGTAGGAAAATAGCGCTAGCAGCACCCCCAGACAGCGGAGGGTGATGGATGAGGGGTGATTTACTCTATGCTTATGTATTTGCAGGATCAGGGAGTAACTTGAGCTGCTTCTTCAGGCTTTCAGCTGAGCTCTGGTGCCCAAGCTTGAAGTTTGCCTTGTACTGGTGTCACTGCGCCAGTGCTGATGCTGTGAGTTGTCTCATCTCAAATCTTGGAGTCCAAATCTTTGTCTCCGTAATACACTGCACATAAAATACCCTGAGAAACCCCTTGGGAACTTACAAGCAGAGCTTCCTCCCTCAAATCCTGCAAATACTCCCTTCAAAACTGGAACTGCTTCCTGTATCTGCACAGGAGAGCCCTGGATTTTTGGTGCCTTAATTTATTGCACCCAGACAAATGAGCTCCTTAAATCAGTGCTGGAGAGCAGCCTCGCTTGCTCCCAAATTCTGAGAGGAGTGGAAAAACCAAACCATCTTGCTATGATGGAGTGTGGCGTGCTGAGAAACAACCTATTTATGAATAATAAGGGGTTTAAGTCTATTGCACCCAGACAAATGAGCTCCTTAAATCAGTGCTGGAGAGCAGCCTCGCTTGCTCCCAAATTCTGAGGGGAATGGAAAAGCCAAACCATCTTGAGAAACAACCTATTTATTAATAATAAGGGTTTTAAGTCTTAAATGGAAGAGGGGAATTAGGGTGGTGGTTGCTTTGCTGGCTGCACCCTGTCCTTGGGATGGGGATGAGGGCTTTGTGCTCATCTCTTGTCTCCTCTTGCCCTCTCAGAGCTGCTCTGTGTTGTCCTTCTAGGGATGGCATTAATCATTTCATTAATTACCTATGGGGTTGATAACGACACAGTCTTAATGTCTACATCTGTTTGGCACATTTTATCTCAGTATTACCAGGAAAAGTTTCCTTCACAGGTTTTTGTGGGAGCCCGGGACACCTCAATGTGTCCACACAAGGTTTGGGACCTCCTGGGGTTTGGGTAAACCTGAGCATTGCACTAAAAGCAACGTTTTTACATGTACAAACGCTGTGGGTGATGTTTGGGTGTACAAAACCCTGGGAAAACAGAAAACCCAAGCACCCACACCATGATTTTAGCTGTTTCTGTCACCCGGTGCTGCAGTGAACTCCTCTTTTCTGCCAGACCTGGGCAAAATTCTCTTAAAATTCTCCTAAAATCATCGACTGTCTGATCAAGGCAGCTTTGCCCAAGCCAGAGGAGCTGGATGCTGTCACAGTGAGCTCCTAAGGCTCTGGAAATGTAAATTTAAGCTCCTTAAACAGAGCTGCCCTGGTGTTACCTCCTGGGTGCATTGAGTTCCTGCAGGTTGTAGCCTGTTTTTGTCTCGGGTCAGTTATAGCAAGGCCCCTAAACTCTTCCCTGAGAGCATCTCTGCCTGCTTAAAAGATAAAAATAAGCTCTTTTTCTCCTTCTTTTCTTTTTCTTTTTAGAAACCAGCTCAGATCTTTATTTTTTCCATACTTAAATCCAAGGGAACGGTTGGTTTTTGTGCAAACAGGGTGTAGCTGAGCTCTGGTCGCTTCATTTATGGCAAGACCACGCATGGGGTTTCTGTGTCCTTCCAAAACCAAGAACGTCCCTGAAGCCGAGTCGTGCTTCCCGTTGTCCCTTTTCACTTCGTGTGCGTCGTTTGCTTGAGGAGTGGGGTCCTCCCTCCCAAAACCTTGCCTTGCTTTGGTGGTGATGGAGCTGGGCGGGCTAAAAACCCGTTTACTCTTTGCTTTTCGAATGTAGATCTGCAGCCCTGGCTTGTCCTGTTTTCATCCCCCTATTTGTGGTGGCTCTTTGGCAGGGGATGATGTTGGAGACCCGTTTCAGACCAAGCTGTTTTGGTCCCTTCATATTCTGGCTGCAGCGGGTGCTGGTTTGGGTGGGGGTCCATGCTCTGGAATAGGAGGGGGCTGGGTCCTGGGCTGGTTTTGGCTCTGATCCGAGTGCTGAATTTCTCTCTTCTCCAAGCTCTAACCCTGCACTGAAAGGCAAAGCAAGGCAGCAGGGTCAAACCCAACCCAGAGGTGGGGTGAACTGGGGCATTTCAGCCCCTACCCTGACATCTGAGTGGTTTTAGAAACAATTTTGAGCTCCTGCCATGGGGTCATGGTATTGATGCAGGCCAAGGAGCTTCTCTGCAACCCTTGGGAGCTTCAAAGCCCTGCGTTCATGTGGCTGTTTGGTTTTCCTGGGAAGGGTTTGCTGATGTCCTAGAAACCAGTTTGGAGGCGCTAACTGGGTCTTCCCCCACTGGTTTTCTGCCACCCACCTCATATGTGGTGGAGCTGGAGAGCTGATGCTGCCGGGCTGGGCAATGATGCAGGAAAAGAGGCATTTGATGCTTGTGCTGCCGCGGTGCTTTGGTCCTGTCCCATACCCGTTCAGTGGGGTCCTCAGGTTTGGGGGCTCTGCTGGGCTCCCCAGGTCCCCCTAAAGAAGAAGTGGGGCTGTGAGTGGGGGTCCCAGGGACCCCCTTCGCTTCCCCAGGGTCCCGTCGCTGGGAGTTTAGGTACTGCAGTGGGTGTGAATTCCAGTCTGTTGAATGCTATCATTGAAATATTTATTGTGTTGAAACCAAACAAAGGAAAAAAAAACCTATTAAAATTCAGTCAAGAATAAAATTTTCCAAGCCTTTTAATGATGTTTGTCTATTTCTTTTTAATTTTGAGCCATGGTAGAGGTTGCAGAGCTCTGGAGCGAGGGGTTTTGACTCACCTGGGGGTTGTGGTGCTTTTGGGAAGGGCAAGGAGGAGGCAGCGATGCCCTGGGCTGTGCCTGCTCCTGGGGGCCCTAAAAGTCATTGTGTACCCCCGTAGCGTGACTGGGGCACGTGTGGTGAGGAAGAGGAGGGCAGGGTGAACGTAGGGATGGTTTCTCCTTTGCAGCGTGGCGGATGGAGCTGTTGGCCGTACTGGGACGGCTGTGGGTCACAGCTGGTGGGCTGGGAGAGGTGAAGCGGCACAACGTGGATGTGAAAAGTGATGGGATCTGCCCCAAATCGTGGGATTTAAAATGTGGACTGAGTGGAAATGTGGTGCTTCGCCGGACGACCCTTTCCTGCCTCCTTGAAGCCGGGATCGTGGCTTGCTTCAACCACAGCTCATCCCATGGGGTGCTCACCTGATCGTCACGGTGGTGATGGGGAGGAGTGGACTGGTGGCGTCTTTGGCCATCCTGGTTTTACTGGGATCGAGTCGTGCAATTTTCTATTCAAGAGAGCTGGGATTCTGAGAATTGCAGTGTCCAGTTGAGTGAAAACAAGCCGGTAAGTTG